TCACACCGGCTCTATTATCCAGAGTTTTTGGTCCCTCAAACGACTTGCCCCAAGTTCTGTATGTCTCAGCTGTTTTTATATATGAAAAGAGACTGAGGGACATACTTTAATGCTGCGGTGCCACGGGCCCCTTGGTGCGTTCCAGTCAGCATCAACGTAGGCGGTCCACCCCGGTGGGATCTCGCCAACATCCTCATCATCCGGTGAGGCTCTGGGACCCCGAGGAAGGTACCGCTCTGAAAAGACAAGAGGCGATAATACCGAGCTGGCGCCGCTTCAAAAGACGGCGACTCCGGCGGCTGCTGCAGTCGACCGTACTGAACCCACGTCACTTACTCATTAACCTGTGCAGGCATGGTTGGCAGGCGGGCGACATGCCGCTTCCTTATATGTCGGTATTTGTCACCCTGATTATCACTCCTTCCACGCCTGTGGGGTAAGTTGCGTATGCGTTGTGCATACGTATGCTAATCGAGGTTCTTAGTTCCGTTTGAATGGCTTTGTCCTTTTTCCGTCTGTCATTATGCACTACCTTTATTCGTTGTGATAATTTAATTGGTTCGCTTGTTCAACTCTTTAACATAAATATATATGTGTGTGCCTGTACAGGACATACACTAACTGTAAGGATCAGTATCAGTGAACCTGGACGACAAATACTTTTGCCCTCCGACAAATCGGAATGGCCGTTGTCTCAATCGATACCATTGGCGACAATTGACGTACTGCCTTTTCCGGACGGCAGTCCCGCCGTTAGACATTGGACAGCACACGCGAGATGAACAACATTCACTTAATGTCATAACGTTACGGTATCAACGGAGCGATCCTGCCTGAAGCTTCTAAAGTGGTGGAGCACTGGAAAATGTTAGACCTAACATAAAAAGTTCAATGTCTGAAGGTATCGTTCGAAGGTAGTTTCGTTGTGTGCCGATTCAACTCAGATTTAACTTTCGTATGTTGCTAAATCATTACACATATCTATAAATAGAATACCTGTAGCATACCTATGCATAGGTTACGGCTAGAAGAATCTCATGTTCGTCTTTTGCCCGCTAGGTCCGTGAAAAATGATCGCCAGCTGGCTTCTACGCAACCATATCTGTACCATCGTAAAAGTTAGATTACAAATTACAGCGTACGAAGAAGGGACGATGATTGGCGTATCCTATCTTCACCTTCGGTTTATATATTTCGCTTTTAGGACGTTCGTATTTAACAATCTAGCCTTGCTATCAGCAAACAAACTTCGTTGAATTGTTATACGCCAATAAGCTACTGAACCGAGATATCCGTTCTATAAAATTTAAATGAACCACTTCAGCCGTGTTTTCTACTGATTTTTTAGCGGTATTTAGCAGTATTTCCTAAGCTTATCGGACGATTATGTTTTCTCTAAGGTTTCGACGGCGCACCTATTCCTAACGTACAAGACGTCCATTGCCAGTTCATAGAAACTTCTAACCTAGCCTTCATCGTTTGAGCCTCTCTAGTTTTGCTAAAAAAAGAACTCTGGATTTATTCTGATCGAATAGACAATCGCACAGTCATCTAATTCAAGATCCAGCGATCCAACGCGTATCCATGTCGGCTTGCAACATATAACAGACAACAAATAGATATACATATATATAAGCCTACTCCAAAGGTTTACACACGTTTAGTAAGTTCCTACATAGAAAAATTTCCCAATATCAACTCTTATCTTACACACCGAATGTAGGATATTGTAAATAATATATATAGTCTGTGACACTTATGTCCTTGTTTACATTGGCCGGATCGTGCGGTAGAATAGAATCGATACCTGTATACTGCCGACGCAGTGAAGATGCAACTAATTTATTAGATTTGTTCCCTCGTAGCCGTATAGATGGACTTATGTATGGATATAGAAAAAGCCGGTATCCTTTCTTTCGCTTCTTGTTCCACAGATTGCCCTGTGTCTCTTAAACCTCACGCGAAGCACAACAGACCCGAACTAATCCACATTAAGCAACCTGATTACGTGGACCGGTTTGGCCAAATCAACAAGGTTACAGTTAGCCCATCCGATATAGCGCTGTGATTATATGCAGTGGATAGAGCGCTGCGTACCGAAATCGGGCAGGTCAACAAACAGGGGACGTCACCGCTTTTCAAAATAGGCTACATACATTAGAGTGCCGTTGGCTAAGCGGCGACAATATGCCGTGGTCAAACGTAAAAAAACGGTTAGCACCGCGTACGTGGTAGCATCGCCAGCGGATCGTTCGAAGCGCCAGATCGAACTTGTCCATTTCAATGGAGGCCGCTATTTACCAGTGGCTGTCAGCGGTCAAATGAGGCCGGCTAAAATAGCTTGAGAAGGCACAGCAGTGTACCTTTCGACCTAATCCATGCGGAAACTGTAGCAGTGGCCGCTGCCATTGACAACACAAATGTTGATAACAGTCCCTGTATCGTGGTTGTTTCTACTAAACATATAATTTTATAACTTACATATCGTGCTATAAAATCTAAATGTTCTAGTGAACATTCTTCTATGCAGACGGGTCCTGCCTGTCGAACAGAATCAGTACATGGAAAGATAATCAGCTCAATGGTTTTCTGCATTATTTTCTGCATTTTCTGCAACGCAGATCCGCTTCGGCAAAATCGTAAAAAAAAAAATATTTCCTTTTAATGAAAAGGGTTGGATCAATAACTGAACTTCAGCTGCACGAAGTGAGGTCGGCAAGTCAGGCCTCTGTAATTTCTTTCATAGCAACATGTTATTGTGATGCACCTGAGCCTTTTTAAACGAAAAGCTGATGGACAGCCATAGGACGTGCTCGGAAAGCGGCAAGCACAGCACCACAAATCTCTGGTAGCGAATTAGACTGTTCATGACGATAATGGCAGCACCGGGTTCGCCTCGCCCATATCTCCCCAAACTACAATACGAAACCTAAAGAATCGAACGCTGACAGCATTTTTAGATACGTTCTGTACACTAACCTGCCATCTGCTTATATGCAGGGCAGCAGCAGGTACAATATTCTCTCGCGTTCTCTAATATATATGGATGCGAAGCTAGGCGCATCCAGAATGACAGTTAGCTTAGCTCCCCTCCACAAATCCCCTCCAACAAACAGTATACACCCATAGAGGAGGCTGCCTATCATGCTAGTGACGACTGTGCGCTTCCTATCCCCAGCCCATTTCCAAAGCAAATATTTACTTTAGCCGATTTTAGTCCATTAGCTAGCTACTTGTCAGTGGCTGGCCACAGCTGCGTGCATTACCAATGCAAACTAGTGGAATATGAATATTTAGATCTTTATTATTATTATTATTATACTGTTACCATATCATTATGACGGTAATAGCTAATGACGATCTGGCTTTCCTACAATGAGATAGCGCTGCAATGGCGGATGGGGAGCAAAATGGGCCTAGCGTCTATCTGTTATGACAGCTATAGCTGCCGCTGTGAGCTGTGATTGGAGTAACTCTTTCAATTCTAAAAGCAAATCGAATTGATGGCTTTGAGATTTCTCGGGATGGTGGGGCCATTTAGGACGAGCTCCTAACAAGCCACCTCGATTTATGGGGGCGCCTCTGTCGCGCCATATTCAAACTCTCAGATGTAGCGACTTCAATCATTGTGCCAACGGCGGTAGCAATATGAACGAGGCGGTAAAAGTATCGTTACTGAGCAATTGATGAAATCCATTGATCTTTGGAAGATAGATTACAAAAAAATTTCGTACATATCATTTATACTAATTGTTATAACCATCGTCGCTATTACAATTCTCAGAACGCATTTCATCGATGTCCTGTCAGTCACTGTTGCTGAGTTGCCTTTTACGATAATGCGTTCAGCGTTGCGAAGACATTGCATAGACGTACACAGGTCGAACGTACACAGCATGAGTCCACGGTCGGTTGCTGTACGTACTGAGAAGTATGCTCATGAGTAGGGAAAGATATAGGAGAAAAATTGACATTAAGACCTCACACCACAACGCCGGGCGTACCATGGCGACAATCGTTCCTGTAAAGAACCTAACCAACAGATTTTAGGCTCGCTGGCCGAATGCTCATAGCATATTGGGCGGTTTAAACGCGGCTCGTCTGTAACATGCGACCCCAACGTTACTCACGAACGAGCGACCACAGTCATGCGTCTAAATAAAAGGTGTGACTAGAGATAACCTGCGAGCAGCCTCTCGACTATGTGATTAAAGGCCAAGAGAGGAAACCTGAAAGCGCCAACAGTCGTGCCTTTTTGCTTTTTTCTACCGAATGCTCTAGTAGGTTTAAGCAGAGCAGAAGTATAAAACGCGAAGTGCTAAAACGCTAGCGAATGAATTGGCGCAATTGATGTGTTTCTAGTATTTGATCCACGCGTGTAATACAATTAAGGTCAGACCTATTGAACCGGCTGGGAATCGGCCAAGCCGATCCGAATCGATACAAACGAAGAATAAAAACCGTCTACAACTAGCCGCTGGAGAAGATAACACCGACGCTTAGAACCTATGAACTGTACTTGTTGGCTTCAAAGCAGAAGAGGCAATCGACAACTAATAGCCCATGCGAAGCCGCCCTGTTTCACTCAGATCAGACTCGCGTCGCTACGCTATGACAATGGAGGGTAACTATACTTGCATGAGGTCGTAATAGTAGCTCGTGGGGTTCGGCCCGTACGTGCATACGTCTAGGCGAAAAAATGGCGAAAACCGAATGTTCATATTTATCAACGGTCAAAATACAAGCTACAGGGATCCTGCAGGACGAAACTAAAATAATTTATAAAAGAATTAGAACAAATAAACCACTTCATTTCGACTATTTTCAAGGAATAAATCAACCAGCAGATATACTCGATACTAGCAGATATGATACGCGCCGTGTGTGCTTCTACTAGCACGATGGTTCAGCCAACTGCCACCGAGTATGTCCGCCAAGGCGGGGTAGTAAGCCGTGTTCACAATATCGGCATAGACTGCCGCAAACAAAATTGTGCTTACCGGTACTAACCGCCCAGTCGAGACGATAGCACACGCCGGCGAACGGGAAGCGGTGACCGAAGAAGAACGACACAACAAGAAGAAACAGGAGGGGCGCCCCTAAAGAAAGACGACCGAACGAAGCTGAAAACGACGAAAATGTAAAAATGCTGATAAATGTTTAGCAACAGCCTGCCATACTTTCAGACTCTATTCGTCCACCCAAGGCATAACGTAACAATAAGGCGACATCAGCTAAGCAAGATCTAAGCCTGGCTATGGTCTTCGATCCCGACAAATGCGTCCGCCGTGAACTGCCCAACAATAAGCTTGTGCCTAAAACGTGATAGCTTGCATACAGTTGGTCTATATTAGGTAATCTATGCGTTACACCAAGCTCATGCACGCATAATGGCAAAACAGCCACAGGTTTTTATATACTCAGAATAATATGCGTTTTTGTAACAGGGCCATTTGTATACTGCGCGTGCTCCTAATGATCATTTTGTTATAAGAGGCATTTAGGGAAATTAAGATCATATATATATATATCTTATAGATTCAATTTCTTTCGTGTTCGAACAGCTGATATCACTATTGCGCTATCTGTCCGTATGATATCTATCTGTAATTTTATACGATGAATTTACAAGGAAACAGTATTAAATATATCAATTTCCTGATCCATTGCCTTTAGGATTCCCTCTCGGACCGATAAAAAGAACCTAAAGCCGAGAGTGGTAGCGAGTCATTTATAAGAAAACTGGAATCAACAACACGAGTGAATCGCGATTTACTGAAAGTTGGCAAAAAATTTTCACGCCTGGATCAGCAGGTCTGGACAGCATAGCGGGAATAATATTTATCGAAGTTACGGGATAACGGTTGAGGGATGGGGACATCCAACCGGAAAAACGTCGCTGAGATGTGCTAGATCAAATTTTAGAGTAAAAGTATATCAATAAGCGCAGAGCGAGTGACTGTGAAATCGTCGTTCCGGCCCGCTAACGGTAAAAGCAAGCCAGTTGGCCTATGGCCTGGGGGCAAGAACGGTAACTCATATGCGCGCGGAGCCGCCGGTATCTGATCGTGCTCATCGACACTGACAGGATTTACGAAAGCTAGCACCGTAAAATCTCGCCCAATTCACTGCGTTTTATAAAAAAAAAAATGCATACACATTTCTATTATACGTATTCATGTACCACGAATGTTACGGATATGTGCATTGATTTTTTGGCCATTTACCGATATAAATTTGTCATCGTCTTTCGAATTGGTTCTGACCGCGTCTTAATACATTCTCTAAACGTGAACCAAACATGCATTTACGTAAGACTGACGACTCGTCCGAGCAGTACGACGGATAGGTTCCTCGGATCCCTCTTGCTGATCACGCCGAGCTAATCTGCATGTGAACGCACGCATAAATATTTGTATTCTAGCATGCTTGCGACACCTGTCAAGCAAGTGTTCAAATAAATGGGAATTCGCCATTTTCGGAATTCTTAGGCAGGATTTTCTGTTTAACGTGAACTGTATCTTTCAGCATTGCGTAAACGTGTTCGTTGATACGTATACACTAAAATTCGATAACCGGAAAAACAACGAGCTATTTCTGTACGAAAGCTGTGCCGTTATTGCACGTTTGTTCATGTCTGAGCGACGTAGAAAAATGTAGATAAACGCATCATTCTCTCGTTACTCGCCACCGTCACGCACCACCCACTCTCCGTCGTCCGCCACCACGCCACCAGCATAGCCAGCGCTAGCGTGTCTGGTGTAGTGGCGACAATGACGGCGGAAAGAAGCGAAAATTCGTACGACGCGGCAGCGCGATTCGCCAGAAAGTACGCAGAAAATACCCCCTCCCCAGATATTTGCTGTCTTTGCCAGCGGAACCAGATGTATCTTCTTTTCGTCGTTCGCCTCATATTTAAAAAGTTCTATATATAACATATAGATGTAGCAGCGTATGCGTTTGCGTTCGTTGAAGAAGACCTGTTTGCAGTTCAGTATTGCAGCACTGTCAAACCACTATTCCGTCCTATTACGTCGTGAACAGCATCAGCCACTGCTGTTACTTCTACGTAGCATTTGATGGCTGAAGTACAACAGCAGCGACGGCGCTTATTATTTAATAAGTGCCGGCACAAACATTACTGGTAGTAATAGTAGTAGTGCTGCTGCTAACGTTGCTGCCATTGCTGGCCCTAAACATAGATGGCGACGATGATTCCGGTTGTACCGACGCAAGTATGCTGTGCAGTTTGTGGTCTGTGCTGTACCGCTAGCACTGCTACGGCAGACAAAAGGAGAGAATAATGCGTAGACAACAGGCAGTCACTCCTATGCTTAGACAGTCGACCCAGCGAACTTGTGGACAAACGGACGGGCGAGTGAACGGACAGCCGGCGAAAACGCTGCAAGGCCGTGGCCTTAAACTTCACTCAACGCAACCATCACTTTGCGCTGTTGCTGCTACTGCTGATAGTGTATGGATGCTATGTGCAGCGCTGTCAGGGGCGCAGCGTTAAACCGAATTTCTTTGCCTCCCCATTGCCATTTCCTCTTCTTGAATCTACTCGGTGGTGTTAGAGCTAAACCTTTTTGTCCTCTCTCGGCCGCTGTTGTTATTCTCGTTTCCGTTAGTGATATTGCTGTGGCTGTAACTGCCGCGCAAAGCACATTCTATTAGATTTCGCTTAAAAAGAGGCGACACAACAAGCTCGCAGTACCGCAGCACACAGCTGCTCTACGATGGAACAAAGGGCCTAGTAAGTTTAGCGGTAGGGGGTAGCAGGGCTGATGGTGGGAGCGTCAAATTAGGCACGATCGTGTCAACTACAACCGTCACGACAGAGTAGACAGAAGGAGAAACAGCCTAACAACTGGAATCGCCATGGATAACATTCCCATTTTCTATACAACCTGTTGTTACTACTTCTGCATAACTATAGCACACCGTTCAGAAAACAACTGATCGCCACCGGCGCCGGAAAGGTCGATCTTATTTTACCGCAAAACCAACTAAGGACAAAGAAAGGCAAACAACTATAGAAATCTGCGACAATATCAACTACAGTAAGCCTAGTAAACGATATAACAACTATACGACCTAATTAGGCCTCAGATATCTGATCTATCACAGAAATGATCATTGTATTTACGTATGTATATACATGAATTGTTTAACTACGTTTGCTTACACAAGTGTTCCCCTACAATCGGTAGGATAAGTTTGAATGAATTGAGAAAGCTACATGTATGAAATACGGCTACAAGGAGCCTTTACTATATGCTTAAAGATAATCAGAACTTTCTGATCGGAGGCGTTTTCGCATGAGTCACCCGAACGAACATTTACTTGCAGCCCGAAAGGAATTAACTGAGGCCCAGCGATACCTCGACAGAGAGAGAGAGTACGAAACAAGCATTTTCGTTTGCTACTTTCGGGCAATATTAATGCTTTCAGAGAGCCAACGAGTGAGCGGGAGATTGAAAAATTCACAATGACGTCAATTAAACAAATTCTGAGGGGAGAAAGCAGCGATAGTAGTACTAACATCGATCGACGTGTGTGCGTAAGTTGGGACGAAGCGTGGCGCGATTACGTCGCGTGGGGTGCGAGACGTTGTCAGTCTGGCACCAGACTTCACCAGCCGCTACATTCTCTCGATCAAAGAAACGCATAACTTTGCTTTTAGCTCCAGACGTCGCAGGAGAGCTAGAGGGCAACATAGCAACTTCTCGCAGTAATAAAGTATGGATGGACAGAAGGAAGAAACTAAACATATGGGACTGCTAGCCTGTAAAAGCGAACAACAAGAGCGCATGTTTGCCAAACAGAATTTATTATCATCAATTTGGAACGGGAAAAGGGTGGACGCATCTTCCGAGTTTCGACGTAATGGCGGCGGCGGCGGCGGCTGCCGCTGCGTCGGGTCTTTCTTTACGTTCGACACTTTCATTTTCTCAATCAGGTAGCATCACGTTCGATACTAAAAATGTTCGAGCGCTTGAGCCAGTCGTTGATCAGTTCGAGTTTGTTCAATTGTGTTCTAGATGAACACAAATACAGGACTAGATGGTACGCAATTTGCAATGGGTACAATTTACGTTCGACGCGGCGAAGATTTATTCGTGATGAATTTTGCGATAATCTGCTTCCCTTCACACTTTTGCCATTATTCAGACACAGGTCATTTGTCATTGATCTATGATACTTTCGTCTGCTACACTCAGCTTTCCACATCCAACGTTTAAAACAGGACAGTGACCTTCGCTCCTGGCATTCTAAAGTTACAGCAACGAAAGCCGTATCCTGACCCATTAGGCGTCAAGATTCGATCACATATAGCCACAAGACTTGGCAGACACACAAACACAGAAAACAATGAAAATAGAGCGACGTTTAGAAATCGACCCGAGCCAATTGTTTAACAATTACAGTTTCTAGAACGAAATCAGGTTGAGGAGTCGCCAGCAGTTGAAACTTAATGGCAACAGTAGCGGCAACCACGCAATAGCTAGCTTCACTTCAGCCATCCATAGGCTAGAAGGCCTGTGGTAAACTTTCATATTTACTATGAGCTCGAACTTGTCCCGCGTGCTGGCACATGTCCGTACCTTTGAAATATAGATTTGTGTATAGGCAATACGCTTACGTATGTAGCAACGTGGGAGAAAGCCAACTGGGGCTCGACCACTCGTGTCACTTGAACAGCGACGTACACACGTCAGCACAGAAACACGGTACACACGTCCATGGGGGAAAAGGAGAAAAACATAAAAAAACGAAGTCATGACAACAAAAAGAGCGATTACGTTACACGGCGACTTCTGCCTGACAAGAAAGATGAGGGCAGTCGTGGGACGGCGAGAACGAACACAATCCGATTGCCTCCGTTTTTCTTCCCATAAAATTGTTTACTATTCGTTCCGTACTTGCAATGTTGTTAAGTGCGTCTGCTGTTTTGTTGTTCCTGTCCATGCCGCTGTCGTTTTGTTGATATTAAACACACATGTCAATATTGAAGGATGCGACAGACATATCCGAAATGATCAAGTTAAATTTCTAGCATCCCGTTTGCGATAAAAATCAGACATGTCAGTTTAGTAAAAGGCCGATCGAAAAGCAATGGATGCTGAGACTGGCTCGTCTTGTAGCATTTCACCACGCAGGCGACACAATCGATCAATTCACCTAGCCTGCAAGGCCACTATTTTCGCTTTATATATATATATATAAACGAGTTTCAATGTACACATGGTGTATGCTCCTCTGTGTTTGAATCGTACAATGGGCTCAGATACACAAACATAGAGACTCTATATCGTTCTAGTATAAAAGTAACAATTACTGTTATTTAGATATCTGATGTTATCCAGTAGATAAATATCAGTTTGGTGACTATTTTCTACGGTTTTAATGGGACCGGCTTACCCCTTGGCTCTTTCTGCTCAAACAGTCTAAATCCATCAGCGGCAGTGCCTTTATTAACGATAGGGTGAGAAGTTACTAATGGCGCCAAGTAACTTTTCGCCCGTCACCTAAGATACATCCTCGAATGGGCTGATAGTAAAAACAAATAGTCCAGTCATCACTGTACTTCAGATATATATTTTTTTGTCCAGTTGACCAGCTGGTATAATGCTCCTGAGCAATTGCTCCAACTGATTTCGAGGGAAAACAATTGAATAGTGGGTACGGACAGATGGTGACCTCAATCGTAACTAGCATATTCTCTATTTTGTGTATAATTTTATGCCATGACTTACCTCGTCTTGACTAAATATTAGCTATCCTTTGGACAAAAATCAGAGTTTAGTTAGTCCGGTCCGTTCACTGTTTACTGATCATACAATAGCCTGCTTTTCCTTGGCCGCCGTAGCAGCACTTACTGCTACTGTTGCTGCTGAGGACTAGTCTAATATCTAGGATATCCGAAGGCGCACAATAGGTTTATCATCCAAGTTATGGCACAACACACTGAAAGGTGACTGTGTAGTAATTATCTTTTTGCTCTGAACTTTACTTTTTTAAGCTTTTTGCTTTCGTGCTCATTTAACTTGTCACTTCTGCTTGTTTTCAAGCGAACTCGTTACAGCCCACTACTGAAGTTAACCCAACTTTTTTCTATGATGATACCACACTCCATTAATTGACAGAACTGATAATATCCGGAATTTGTATGCATTTAAATGACGAGGTCGTAATATACACAAATACACCGAACAGCCGCAAGCACTTTTTTCTTTTCGCAAGTTAGCACACAGCACAACTTCTCCGAACTGCACTTAATTCGCAAATTACGATAACTTTTCGGCAGCGCACAACAGCCGTTGCAGTAGTAGCGGTAGTCGTCGTTGAATCGATGATATCACCACTTGTAGAACTACGTTAATGCATATAGACGTGTGGTAGAAAGTAATAAATCCAATTCGAGATGACACACACTCCTTTCTTTTAGCGGCTTTAATAATAACAATAATTATATTATATCGATTTAGCCGTCACCGTAACAGAAGATCATGCGTTGCCTTTAGCAGTATGGTAATACCAGGACAGCTTTGCCGCTTCATACACCAAACACGGCATCATATATCCAAACTCTTTTTTGCTGATGTAAAATTATCACAACGAGGCTTTTGCTGTGAACGGCATTGGCTTCCAGTTGCCGTTCCTCTTAGGTCAGCGACCAAGGATCGCACTCTCTCTCTCTCGTTTGCCTTCCTTCGCTATTTCAAAGCTCAGGAGGTCACACTCGCGAGACTGCCGCTTAAGCGCGCACCGACACAGATCTCCCGTTTGGAGGTAAATCAACAACTGAAGCATGCCTTCTTGCGGACTGAGCTTTTTCACCGCAAGGGGTCGCGCCGATCGGGGAGCATTACCGAACGGTGATCCGTGGCGCCATCTGGCCAGGTTAGGGAGAAGCTATGTTGTGATGTATTGGCAGTTGCCGCCAATATTCGAATGTTGGGCGTGCCTTGAATAAAAAACGACAAACTCTATGCAGTGTTGGCATTATCTTAAGGGAAATGGGCATATAGCATAATCAAAAGAGAATACTAACGATGCGTCGTCCAACAAATCTGTTGAATATTTTATTTCGTGGGTTCGAAAATCATGATAGTAACGCAGTAGACCGTTCTAGTGACTCTAAGGTACTGAAATCGACGTTGCGTGTCGCGGATTGGCGCGTGAATTAGAAATTCAGGGTTTCTGATTTAAATAAACATGGGTGCATGTGAGCCGCAGCAAATTCATCATATCGAGCCAAATGAAATTGTTTTTTTACTACGACTGCTCTACCTCTCTCGTTTTTCGTAGTTTTCTTATTGCACAAAGTTAAATTTCGGCGGTTTGATAATGTAACAAACTGCCCGTCATGGTAGGTAAATGCTGAAATATCTAAAGTACAGTGAGGCTCTTATCCGAAGTAACGAGGAGAAGGAACGTCGTTGTTTGAACGATAAGCTTTTCGACAGTTTAACGAAATAAATACTTTTGGAACAAATCCATCATTTTGCAAAAACAGAAACGATCCCGTCGTCGTTCACCGAACCCAACACAAATATTCTGAGCTGTTTTGTCTTGCTAATAGACACCAGTATAGACACAGAACGTATGATGGCTAACTCCTAAAGATTAATGTGTAACACGTTGCCATAAAGCATTCAACAATAGGCAAATAACTAATTCATTTCGCACGAAGTATTTTGCTTGAATTTTAGCCGTACGAATTACCCTCAGATCATTTCTGGACGAGAAGATAAATCTAAAAGCAATTCGCTTGGTTTTCCCTTATCGAAGCAAACCTGTATTTTCTATGACGCGGACGAGCGCCGACGTTAGCTCGGCTGTTGATTTGGGAGAGGCTTAGTATGATCGGCCGACCATTACGGAGATGTTGCGATAGAACGAGTTCTCATTGTTACCACGACAACAGGCCGAAGCTGAATCTGATAGCGACCTGCTAAACGCTTGTGTAATCATTGTTAGCAAGCATTTCTACCTAGTTGCACGGCAAAGCAATACTCCGGTGACGAGCGCTTGTAATATTATAAAACCTCGTTATATTCTAGGACGAGATTGATAGGGATTGTCCCCTAATCTAACAGACGGAAAAACTGTTTCATGAGTATTGAGGGTGTAGACTTTGAAGCTACGAGACCTCAACCCAGATTCATACAATTATTAGAAAGTGACGCTGTAATGAAAAACATACCGCGTGGTACGCTGTAACGTTAATGCGAATGCCACACCATCCCATTAGCGTTAAGAAACCGAACGAAAAAAAAGCAAGCGGCAAAAATTTGTGCGACAACTTAATAGTATATTAGCTAGTTCCAAGTGAAATGTTTCCATAACGCGTCTTTGTTTCATAACAGAAAGCCGCTTGCAAAGAGCTGATTCCCCTCAAACACGGAGCACGATAGTGGACTTTTTTAAATGGGAACAGGCGTTCCCACGATAGGCTTTGCAGCCAGTTCACCTTCGAAGCATTTCTAGCCGGAACGATTAGATTTCAGAAAAGGAAAAGATTGATAACATCAAAATCCTCAGGGATTCCTTCTTTTTTTTTTTTTTTTTTCGAGATAATCAACATGTTACCTTGCAACGTCCGACAAGAAGCTATTTCGGCCTATTCGAGCACAGCGATGTAGTCCAGCTGGGAAGTATACGTATTTCGATAACGGAATCACATACAAATTATCTACGCACACGAACACAAAGCAGCGTGATTCCGAAAACGCTGCTCATAGCAAAGAATCTCTGCGTGTACTTCTATGCCGAGTATACAAAGGTTCATGCCATCATACCCCTTCTAAGTTACCTATACCTCTCTCTTCTATACCATGAAGATCGAACGAAATGTTTAAATAGTTTGCATGAAATTAGCTGATTTGGAGTGGTCATCATTCTCAAAAGCCACACTGAACTGTACGGCTCAGATTGGCCACGCTATTAAACTAACCTATGAATCATGGAAGAACCTATCGAGTAGCTTTTAATATGGACTGCGTCAAATATCTGACAACGGAAACATTTTCAAATGTCTATGCCGTTCCTGGTTAACTTTTAACAAAGAATCTATCCACTGTCGTTGGTTAGGCCGAGCGTGATGGTGCACTTCACCGCGTGCTGCCGTCTAAAGTATTTTAACGTTCACCAAAAAAAATAACGTCTACATACGAAGCCATGTTTGTTTTGCGGGTAGATAGATGTTTGGTTATGTTACTAAATGTTTCAATCTAAGTAATGTCAGTAACGATCATCGAGCGCTTTTCTGTAATGGAACAGATTATTTCTAGATAGTTGTCGATGTATTCAGATGGCACGATAAAAGCCATGACATAGACTTTCGAAGCATTTATCCATCCATCAAAGTGATATTAGCGACCTGTATCAACCCACAAGCAATTTTTTCCACACTCAATAAAGTGACATCAGGGCTTTTTTCACTGCAAAATCTGTCGTTCATAACAATAAGATATTTTGTGCTAAATTTATCGAGCTTTTCTTATAGTAGCATGAGACATCGTTCCCTATTGTTAACGCAAAAAAAAAGCGTGTCGTTGCTCCAAACCATTGTTTAATTATCAATCTTTTCTGTTTGTTTGTTTGACGTATAGAACACTTCGATACGCATTGATATTACGCGTCAGTCCCGAAAGAGGAAAGCTATCGAATACAGTGATAACATTAATCCCATCATCAGCCAAAAGAAACTTAGACTGCACTGAGAACTATCGATTTTTTCAAAGTTCAGATACTTTTCTTTTTTCTTTTTTTTTGTTTAAAATTAAAAGATCCACTGAATGGGGGCATCTTTTAGAGGGTGTTTTGCAGATTTTTAGAAAAATGGGTTGAAGTCGCAAAGGCCGTACTATATGAGGAGATGACCCATCGGCACAATGTGTTGCACCCTTTTCCGGTAGACTTCGCCATTCTCTAGGCAAATGCCGAAAACCGATTTTGTAATAATCTTGTGGTTTTTTAGTCCACACAAATATTGAACGTACGAAATAGCAAAAAAATCAATAACGTTAATGCAACATTTACGTCAAGGTAGTTTGTTTTATTTCACGCGTCTAGCGGATAACGACTTGCGGAGAAGCCACTGGCAAGTTCGTATAGGTTACAAATGGAATATCTGCACATGCCCCGCTGAAGCTTGCGCCATTTATGCTATAAGCGTATCGCTCATATTAGACGCGCTGTTGCCATTGGGCCGTTATTGCAAATGTGTAAGGCTTTTCTGAAAAGCAACTGCGGCTAGCAGCTACAGCTTTCGCTTTTCACGTCCCCTGTCGTCAGTTTTGTTGTACTAACGAAGAGTAGAAGTTCACGATAGTAAGTTGATCTTCTCAGCTCAGTTCTGCCAAGGATGAAGTCGAAACATGGCATGAGGCTGGCTAGAACAATAGGTGAAAGCAAAATGGTAATGGTTTGAATTGTTGGGAGAACAAAGTCTCAAGGGAGACCGTAGCAGCCTGTTCAGATGGAAAATCATTCCGCTAAAGTATCCACAACAAGAAGCTGGTCGCCGAAGAGGTAGCAACAACATTTTCTTGCTGTCGGTACTGCTATCTTCGCAAGACAGCAAACTTGCTACATTTTGGAGATGCTATGTTATATGTTATACATGCAACACGTAAGCATATTGCTCCCCCGCCATTTCCAAGGGCGTACTCTTTCCTCAGGTACAGGAAGGCTTTCGTCTAAATAGATAGGTAAAATAGAGCCCCGTATGGTTAAATACGGCAAGCAACGTCTGACCCGCTGATTCGTAGCGTTTTTTTTTCTAACAACGTTGAAAGTAAATGAAAATTTTCGTCTGTTGGGAGTCAAAAAAATTCGGTTCTTCCGCCTCAGCTTTCTTTTCGATCTTTTTCGAATTTCGAAGCGTTCAAGTTTAAGCGCCTTTTTCAAATCAACGTGACTGTGGTCTTTAATAGTTAGAGCTCTTTTTTTTTTTTTTTTATATATATATATATATATATATATTTTTTATATATAAACAGGGAAACATTAGGTATCGCAAAGTATCGGCGGTTCCGCCGAATCGGCTGTGGTCTTTCAACTACAACTCGAATCAACTGAAAATATGCTTGTACAACCATTGTTTTTGTGGACAAAGCTTTTCGATTACATAAATTTTCTCCTTCGTCGCTGCAATCGTCATTGAGCCGTTCAAAAAGCTAAGCAAAATCAAATCGTTTAATTAACAAAAGACAAAGTCTTAAACTGATGACCATTTGTCCCTGCTTTTCCGATAAATTCAGATGCAATATATGTTGTGCTACACCGCCTATTTACAAAAGTAATTATCTTCTTTGTTTCTGATTTTGTCCTATGACATTTATTTCAATAGTAGTACGGTATGTGTGCGACTCTAGATTAGACCTACATCTAAATCTTCCGTTTTATAGATAAACTCTGCAATGACGACCTGAGACCGTTTCGAACTGCTTGTTTACACACATATACCTACTATACACAAAAGCGCACGTGAAGCGTTTTAACTACAGGGTCGCTGTAAAGCGGGTACGATTTAAAATCACAGAAAAAAAGTCAATTCTCGAGCAAATATGGGAACGTTTATCTTTTCGTTCAAGTAGTCGGTAGGGGGTAAGAACATGCTCAAATAGCTTCTAGTTCATAAATCTAGTTAGACAATTTTGCTTGATTATAAGAAGCGATTTTCCACGACATCGTCAGATACACACAGGCCATTGTCAATCCAGCACCTGCAAGAGATGTTCCATAAGAGAGAGTACTTTTTTGACCTATCGATTAATAATGACAATAATGTACGACATGCCACCAGGTCAAATCTTTATTAAAAGTTTTTTACTAAACAAATTTATCAATTATTAGTCACCATTATACTCGTGTTCTAATAATTTTTTGTAACGTTTTTCTCAAATCTCTAAGAACCCGAATCAATTTCTTAACGATCTATAATTTCTATAGCAGTTCTTTCAGAACGCCTGTTATTTATTTTATTTTATTATTGATTTAGTGAATTTAAACTACATGATATCACGCTTTTCGATTAGGAACGAAGGACACGATGTACCACAAGTGAAGAGTTCGCGGTTCTTTTATAGAAATGTGATATGTCGGCGGCGTGTGCCTGGGGCAACGGCATGTATATACATACAGAAGATCGGTATCGGAGAACGTGACGAGCACGAGCGTTGGCTTTGATACAACGAATCGTATTATGAGACGACCAATCGTATAGAGCGGCCGCTGTGGTTTTGCCGATTACGTCCTGTGGAAAAAACAGTCCAGTCACATTGTTTTCAAATGAAATTTTGCTACGACGTTAGTAATAGCTGGCAGAATTGACCGCTACGTTACAACAGAACGGATCTATACGTCGCACTGATATGTTATTTGGTCAGCGCGTACTGTATGTGAATACATCGAAAGCAGATGTATCACTGTTTGTTCGACATCTACGATTCTTCAAAACGTACGATTTCTGAAACGCTTTTGAAAGACGTAGGCTGCGACTTCAGCAGCGTTAATGAACTGAAAACGTATACTTTCAAAGGGCATGCTGTTGTATACCATAAAGTGAGCCGGTTTCCTCAGATAGAAATATATTCCATCGCATATCATATACCGCATGTAGGTAAGCTTTCTGTATTGGAAAACGTCATTTACTGTTTGTTTATCTGCTGACTTAGTATCATTGCAAGTGATCTCATTATGCTGTCGACGAGTATGTAGCTCCTTTTCACATAGAAGTCTCGATTACGCTGTTTGGAAATAGTGTTTCGAATTGTGCTTGATAACGGACTATAATATTGCAGGGAAAGCTCAGTTTTGTCCAATTGCAATCCCTTCAGAATAATCTATACGGTAACGTGTTTTTTGTCTTGTTTTTTTTTCAAGCGAGCTCGATGTTAAATTTGCACCACTAAGATACCAGTTCTTATCTTTAACATAAGTACTAGTAATTTCTCGTTCCTCAGACTGAATCGTTTTGATCGCGTTTGGAATGGCAATTTAACATTAATTGCAAGAATGTGTTTCGAAATTCAAATTTCGCCGATTTGATGTAAATAAAATGATCCGATGAGCAGTGCTTGTCTTGTAATCGTCGCAAGATGATTCAATTCGGCGCCGGGGGCATAGTGGTTGCTGAAGCGGGGGGGTTCCGTATTCCCCGGCTCCCTCCTTTCACCGAAGGTAAGTGAACTTGAACAGCTTCCGAGGTGTTCGATCCTCATCATCAGCGACTGTCGCCGAAGGCGATGCATGTTGGACGAAAGTTAAGCCACGGTGCAAAGCCAATGCAATATTCGTGTAAGGGGCTTAGTGTGACGGAAAAAATTTACTGGGCCCATAAACTTCTCTTCTTTACAGTTAGCCTATTGGATTGGGCACTGAATATACCCCCAGACAATAAAATAAATAGAAAGCTGTACGCATCATCATACAGCTAAGATGTACGTGTACACTCGCGGTTCAGCTTCGTAAACAATACGGCAGTTTCTGAAATAGCGTTTTGTTAGTTTGGAAAGGATATTGAATTTTCTTGTTTTTCGCTTACAAACAAATAACGCATATAAGTACATAACAGAATAATCACACGCGTTCTGCTTGTTGATAAGTAGCATGTATAATAGTTAAATGCTTGGCTGGGATTTATGTTTCCGTTAATCATCCGATTCGCAGAAGAAAAAAACAAGCAAATAATGTAGTAGCAGTAATGATAGTCTTTTCTATGATCGTGTTCTCTACCCTATAACCCAAAGGATATTCAAAGGACAGGCCTCGTATATAGTATCAGTTCGACAGGGTCTTACAATTTCATGTGACCCTTGCAAGTGGTGCACATTATCTTTTGTAGACGCATATTTAGATAAAATAGTATATTTCTAAGCAGAAACAAAAAATGTCCAGAAAAGAAGATTTTCCATTTTCTTGCTTAAGTTCGGCTTCATACTCGCATAATGCTCATACCACTCGTTCAACGTTTTGATGATGTTTTCTGTAATAAATATCATTAACATCAAATGCTATCCGAGAAAATAAACGCTATTTTATATTTACTTGGTTATAATATTTCCATATTTACTTACACCTATCGCATGGTATAATAAGCCTTTCGGATTTATTTAGAAAAACTAAAGATTCGGATAAAGTGAAAACGTATGACCTTTTACCTCTTCAGAGGAGCCTGAACTCCACTCCGTTTGATATATGTAAACGAAAAAAAAAGATATATTTCGATTATTTTGTGTTTTTTAATATTTTTATCCAATGCTTCGAAACTGTATTTCCCATGGATTTTTGCGTTAGCCACATTTGAAAACTCTTTTCATTCAAATCAAAAAGCGATACTAGTAACATACTGAAATGCTTACTCATTTCATCGACTTTTGTATACTTTTTTCACAGAAAATCTTTTTCATCAAGCCGCTTTCTGCTATTTTCCGCATGCTATACGGCTCTGCTGTAGCGAGTTAAATTTTCGATAGATTTCAAAGCCTAACCTATCTCAAAGGAAATACAAAATATGGAAAATGCATGCACTCATCCGCTATTCTTGGACGACAAACTTATCATGGTTGAAATCAGTGCGTCGTTTTCGCGGTTCGCGTAAAAGTTGGAGAGAGATTCTTATGGAAACGGGAAGAGATTCAGTATGATTCAAATTTAAAAGACCCGAGAAAATTAGGATAGAAATTTTAGAAAGAAAAAAGTAACACATTCAAAAATTAACAATCGTTCTGAAGAACAGAATATTGATTTCTTATTGGGTCATACATATAAGGTGCAACGGTCAGTCCTTTTGGACTTTTTGGCAGTTTGAAAAGCTCGCATTTTTGGAAATTTTGGCTTGCTGTCAGCTCAGAATTCACTCCCGCTGGATTTTTTGTTGTGTGCAGAGTGTTTGAGTGGCACTTAAACGAGCTTACATCTACCAATATCGCTTGATGCACAATAAGCGTGAAAAGTTATTTACAAGTTAGAGATGGAGTATTTTAAAAATAATTACTAAGTCGGCTTAAATTGAAATTGTAATCGCGGTAAATAGTAACTTTCGCATGGAATATACCTGACTGTCAGAAATGACACTTTTAATACATGCAAACATTTTTTTTTTTTAATACAAATGTTTTTGTTTAGACATGGCCTTAGAAACGATTCATAGGCAGAATTTTCACCCATTCCCTGTATATCTATATCTGCCCGATTTCATACGGATTTGCTGAGATGTTTCGATTAACGCTATCTATCTTAAATACCAACCACTTCACTGAGTTTCTACCGCTGTGCTGGGGATCTGTCTTGTAAAAAAGACAAAATACATACTTTACCGTTCCTTTTATTTATAAAAAAATTAAAAGATAAAGGTTCGCACACAGTTTTAGGCGTGTTAAAGGCCGGGTTTGATGGCTTGCGTTGGCCGAAGTCGGAACGATTTTATCTAGTGACGATTGCGAAACACCACTTCTAGGGCCAGTGGCAGTGGGAAATGCAATACACCTTAGGAATATCGACCACTCCGGCCTTGAATAGCCTATAAAATTCTATATAATACTCATATAACCGTCGTGTAACTTAACTTGTACTACTTTGGTAACAAGGATAATTTTAAAATAGCTACCCATGACGCTAGACAACTAATAACGCTCATATCTGCTAGATAACGTTGAGCTAATGTACACCTTCCGACCACTTCCAAACGACATCTAATTTAAACCAATATAGTACCTAAAGTACTGGAACAGTAAATAAATGTACATCTTACTTATCGATGCATTGCTTTTGTAACGTCCGTCTTGCGCATGAACTAAGGGGTGTTAATGCTATAATCAGCTACTGATTGTACGACACGCCTGTTGAAACAAGTCACAAGGTCGGCTTGTTACGTAACTCGCTATGCCTGATAGAAACAACAATGGACGAAAACGTCTCTAATAATTATTATGCCACAATTCTAAAATTTTGACATGATATTATTTATGTGTCCTCTGTGGACATCGGAAAATTCGAGCAACCCTCACTTCAGAAACATAAGAATTACCGTATCGTTTTTCAGTAGCGACAATGATGTACTTTCTGCAGAATAGCACGCCTGATGGCATGTTTATTCGATTCAATGCATGCTTCACAAGTGGAGAACTCAAGGAGATGTACGATATATTTGAGAAAAACGAGACAGGTGAACAAAAACAACAGATCATCGCCAATGAGGTGCGCCATACGTAAGATCAGCGCTAGCTTCGTTTCTAAATTACCCATGTCTCTCCCTCAGGATGGTTAGAGGAAGAGAAAGGTGAACGGTTGTACTGTTCCGGGCCAATTAGGTCGGATTTGAAGCTAAGCTTAGACCTGAATCAGGTCTTCTCGAATGCGAAATTTCGTAGTAAGCACCCGTGACTTTCTCTACCTGAAGACTATTTGGGATCTGTTTTGCTACTATTTTTCAAACTTCGGTTTTCAAATCCAATCAAAATAGCCTACTTTATTGCGAAGAATAGAAAATAATATGTAAAATTATTCGTTTAGAAAACGGCCTGTTTGAGTCAAGGAATATTTGCTTAGTTCGGCAGTATCTTTGGTGAATCCGCATGAAGTCGTGTGGATTGTACTTAAAAATTACCTAGAGTAATTTCCCTTGACGGCAGACATATCGAGGAACAATTATATAGGCGCGCTACTGATATACCGAGTACAAACGAATACGAAACCTTACAGAGTACACGGACGTGGCTATGTAAAATTAAGTATTTTGTTTTAGATGTTGGTCTATATATGAAATATGCATTTTTGCTGGCACGAATCCTATCTTTGAGCCCTTCGATTTTAGTTGAGCTTAAATTACCTTTTAAATATCGCATCACTATTTCGCTGTGCCTCAGTTAAGCAGAATGTCTCCTTCATTTGGATTCGAACCTAGATTACCTCATATTTCTTTCCAAGCAGCAAGGATCTGAATCCTGCGGACTATGCCAGTTAGAAATAGATGGTTTGCAGGTACTTCATGTATTTCTTGTTTTTTTTTTTGTAGTTTTTTTGTAGGTATCCAGTCATTTATCTGTCGTATGGGAGAAAAACCGTCACCGTTAAGCCAGAGGCGTTCTAATACCAGTTAAACAATACTTTGGTTAGGAAAGCGTTCATGCGTAGTGTTTTTCAAAGTTGCTTTTCGTGGCACCACAGTTTTAATTTTCACTATTTATTTGCAATTTGTACATGGGTTTTTCTTAACACTACTCTAATTTTGGCCTAGTCTACCTTTCATTTCTAAAGGAAATTCTCTGAAAGATACTTTCTAAAGGAAAGATACGTAAAATAATAAGAAAGAAAAACATTAAATAGATTTTTCTTGTACTCTCGGTGATACTATTTCAGCTACGCTCATTTTTAAATGGCTTGCACCGTTTAAGCGGCCGCTTTGTCGTTGTGGTCGGAGAGCGATTCTGTGTTGAAGATGCAGACCCAAAACAACATTGGGATATGGCACTGTTTGCACAGTTTCAGCCTACGACAAAAAACCTCAATCCGCTGGACGTAGTCATCGTGAAAGGACTATTAAGAACGGGATCGCTGCCGTAAGTGACTTAACTAGCATAAAGTTAAGTAATTTTATGCTTTTTTTTTTAACTTTTTTTTAAAATTTAAGTAACGGTAAACATTAAGTAATGTTTACCGTTCGGAGCATTGTAATGGATAGAAGACAAATATCGCATTTGAACTTTTGGCTTAATACCATCGACTAGTGTGTAAAAAACGAAATACAAATTAATTCCCGTTATCGCTGATCAAAACTTGAAAGAAAAAAAGGAAAAATTTGCATTGTACGTTTCGGTGACGTCCTTACTTACCTTTACCTCCGATATAATATAACAGTACACATGACGGGCGGGTTTTATTTCGAACACTTTGGTTTTTGCCACGAATGCCTGCCTTTCCCATATTTCTTTGGGGAAATACAGCGTTGAAGCACGGGCGCTATCGTCTGTCACGCGGCGATTTCTTTCTCTTAATACACCTACTTTTCGTTTCTCATTTGAACCTATTAGGCCTGCAGAACATGATATTGGCATGCCATTCCTTCGGTTGCCCATTTTACAAACAGACCTGCCAAGCTCGTTCCACTCAGTAGTGCGTTCGCTGCTAGCGTCCAGCAGCTCAGCACAAGGGTCTATATGTGATCGGATTGCGCGTGACATCGGACATTACCTCAATCAAGTCTTGTCCACTTTTCGAGTTCTTGTTATTGTAGGCCAATCCGTGAGTGTCTTGCCGCCTTCAGAGCGTTACGTCATCTATTGGGGTACTGCAGACGGTCTGACTGTGTTCGTAGTTCAGCTAGGTCGGATTTAAAGGTAGAAAATCGCTCGCACGTGATATTTATGCTACCTCGGTTAAATTGCTAAACAGTTAGGAATACTCTTGTTTATCTATAGTTAACCGCGAGGTTTAGCTATTCTGTTAATTGTTTTAGCGAATAACAACGACAATATTACAGGACTATGCTACCATACCTTCTCATATGTTCTAGGCAATCTGTATGCCATTTGAACTGTAATTTTGAATGCTAAACTCACCGGATGTCATAATAAAAATGTTTGCTCTTTTGTAACAAGTTGATCATTCCGCAAATTGGTCCTTTCGAATTATATTACATAGTAATATATACATATTACTCCCTTTATATGTATATATTACGATATATTATATTGCAATTATGTCGCTGTACCTGGCAAAATGAAGAGTTACCGTTTCGATCGGTTTCGTGCCAAGGAGCGTAAATTCGTTCTCTTAATAAATTTTCAGCTAGTCGATCGCACCTTTATCTAGCTTAGAAGTTTTGTAATGACTATCATCAGTGTGTACATGTTACAAGATCAGTTTAGATTGTCTTATTGTAATAAAAATTGTTGATGAATTTTGGACAGGTAACTCGTACAAATACGGCAAATAGATGCCTTGCGAAAAATTGGGCTGTCTAACCCAGTCTAAACGAACATGGTTTGTGTCACTGAAGTCGATCCCTAAATATCTGATTGCATGTCAGTGTCTTAGGCAAATCGTTCTCACCTCACAGTTTCGTTCCTCAACTTAGTTATATTTGTCCTCACATGTCCTAAACATGTCCTCAGCGTCGCAATTTTTACACCCCTACCCAAAGATAACGGTGAAATTGCACTACAGTTAAGTCTTCCTTCACCAGTGCTATATATATACATATATATTCTTTCATGCTGTCTAAAATATGGCAAAATATGGCATGTTGTGTGCGAGTATGTACACAATATACTCTACGGAATTCGCTACGTAAGCACTTAGCTTGAAAGATAGTTTTCATGTTAAGGACTTCCTAGGCAATTCCCATGCAAAAGAGCCGAAATACACATTTGTATACCAGGACATTCTGGACAAAAACTAGCTTACAGCGGTTTTAACGCATGCGTGAAGCTCACTCTATAGAGGGTAAAAATTCCACTTAGGTCTACTAGCTGTCGTACAATGAAAGCGCCTACCTCATTTCATTAAAAAAAATCCGAGTTCCTTTCGATTGTTTCCAAGGGACTTAAGGCCTAGAAGTACGGAACTGTATGTTGCAAGCAACAACAATCTCCTTCTGTAAGTTAAGCCTTATTAAAAATTAAAACAAGCCTTATTATTATTATTATTATTATTATTAGTAGTAGAAGTAGTAGCAGTAGTAGTAGTAAATTATAGTTCGAGTTGTGGCAAAAACAGCGTTGCAAACAGGATCCTCTAGTCGGTGGACTTTGTTTCTAGCCGGGGTAAGACCCACTTTCTTGATTATGCTTCCTCCTACACCGATAAGCTCTTGCAGCTATGTAAGCTATATTTAAATTTTTTGACATTTAGTTTGAAGAAAGAAAAACGACTTTGGATCATTGGCTCTAATTCTACAGATAGGTAATTAAAGTGCTTTAGCTTCAATAATACCGTCAAGAGTGGTCAGATTCGTTCCTACATCGATCGAGGAGAACCTGTTTAGCTCGTCACCTCTTTTGCCTTGAAAACATCAGTTATGGGAACGTAGACACGAATTTAATGACACTTATCTATAATTAATGATGTTGCAAATGCGTCTATTATTTAGGCGTTCTTAACAAATGAACGAAATAGACTAATATACAATAGAGCTATAAAATGCTTGTTTATTAGTTCATGGTATTTTTTTGTATAGAGGCGTGTTTACTGGAGATTAAAAATGTCAAGCTTGATAGGTTGGGGCAGATCGGTGATTTCTCTACGGCAACGCGGTCCAAAACTGCAATGCAACAAGTTGATGGTTTTTTTGGGGTTTTTTATGGTTTTGAATTTAAGTTTGGAAAAGATTCTATTTTGTTATGCGAATGCAATCGTTTTTACAATGCTTTTATTGTGATAAAAACACTTTGCCCAAAAAGATCTTACCCGAAGGTCGTTGAAGTTGGGATGCACGTAGGACAGCCGCGTCGATCGACAGGGTTTAGTTCGTCACGTGCCGTAGGTGCAGCACAACATTTGTTGGGTATTATAGGACACGACTTTTTGTCACAGAACTTTCTGTAAATCAACGAAGTAGTATTGTGTGAATAGCATTATAAAGGAAATATCAAGCGTGAGAAACTACCGCCACTTAACCTGTACTATGATAGAGGCTATCAGTCAATATGATATGATCGCCTGGGCGAGAGCCTTTCAATTTTTTCGCACAGACTAGATTTTCCCATTTATTTTTTTAACAATTTTCTTTCTTAAACGAAACGTTACACGAAAATACAGGATTTTTCATATTATTACCCAACGAAATGCTAGAAACGTTACAAGGACACTCACTTAAAATAGTCTGTATTAATCATGTATCCGCGGCGACCCAGCTGTTCATTTGCTCGAATCTTTTCGCCGACCCTGCACCATTTCTCCCGTAGGTTTTGCTCGTTTTGGAGACAATCTTCACAGTCGCAGAGTTTGGCAGACTTGTACAACGCGTACGATGCACATCTTTGATGAAGTCCAATTTCACGCATTGCCTGTCTCGTTCGAATATCGACCAGTAGACCAAATGACAACGTATCTACCTAATGTTACTTTCGATTTACTGACGTTCGTGCACGAAAACCAATTAAATGAATACGAGTATTTTACTAAGTAAGCCATTTGGCCATGTTAGTGTGTTATCCGTTGCCTCCTACCGTATCAAAAGCCTCATACATATCTCTCCAGTTAGCCCCTTTGGGCGGTGCCGTTTGTGCGGCCTCGTACTCTGCTAGAAGGCAAGCGGGGTTGTGTCCCTTCGTGGTTGGCTGGGCTGTAATGCGCGATTCACAATGGGATCAAGGCTCGTTAGGATAAAGCGACCTCTAATCGGAAACTAATACAGAGTTGTCGCTCGGACATGGTACTGTAATACATACTACTACTATATAGGTGCGTTCGCTATTATTTATATAAAGTTGTTAAATCGATCGTTGTCAAATAACAATAAATACTAATTGGCGCCAATTGGTACGATATACATTTAGCAGCCGGAAGACATAGCGGACATCCTTTGCCATATTTCGGTGACGAATCCGATGGATTACAACACTGATTCGGAATATTTGGACAGATCTGTAAAACGAAATGATTCATGTATAAATGGAAGGAATTTCGTCAAATCAAATAGGATTATTAGAATAAGCTTCAACGATTTTTGGCTATATTTTTTTAGAGCAGGAATATGTTTAATGTCTCCAGCTGTATCTTGAGTACTTGTCCATTACTACCTTGTTTACTCTATTAGTAACGATGATTGATCAAGGATTTTAAATCCGTACAATAACTGATAATAAAAATATAAAGAATATATAAGGAAAAATAATATAAGGCCGTACTTACTGCTTTCGATGTGCAAACGTTGACCAAGTTCCCGTTCAGGTGATCGGCCTTACCCTTCTTCCGTGCTTCTTCAAAGAACTAAAACCCGTTAACAATAGAAATAATCCAAATGTGAAGTTACCTGTACACTATATAATGAAATAAAATTTGTTATTGACATTAAAAGCAAGATATTGAATTGACTAAAAAACTACTTGAGCCTCATTTTATCAGCCTCAGATTATTAAACTTAGCTCAGATAGTGGATTACCGTTTGCACAATTTAGGGTGGGCGCTGAGGGTTGAATGTTTGTGGTCTTACCATAATAACCTATGCCTTTGAACGATACTTCATCTGTATTTGTTCACAAGTAGTTGAGAGATAAAATCGATGTTTTTTAGTCTGGCAGGTTGGGTTCAATTCCGCGAAAGGCTAAATATTTTGAAGGCTATGGTGTTTCTAATGATAAGTGAATCTCATGACCTTTGTGCAGCCAAAATGAAAACCCATTTTGAAAAAGGATGTATGTATTATGTACATATGTTTATTTCGTTCTAATCCTAGCTACGAGATAAAAAAAGGAAAGCGGAGAGAACATAACGCACGGACCCATGTAAGGAAGGCTTACTTTACACATACGATCCTTGAAGTTTGGCGTGTCTCTGTTGCACGCCATGCAATCACAGGCTGTAATCGTCTCCTTAGATACATACGGAAGGCAGCTGAAAGTCAAATTGTTGGCAGTGTACAACCGCAAGAGGTCGTGGTCCAACGCGCCTGATCGGAAACGGATGAATTTAAATTCATATTGAACTACCGTTATATAAAGATCGCGCCAATGTACCAACAGAAGTAAGTGCTTGTCCTGCTCAAAAGTCGCCATTAATCTAAGTGTAACTACAACCGAAGTTATGAGTTACTGCAAAAACACATTCTTCTAGGCGGTAATTGAAAGAAGCTAACGCCCTTAGAAATTTTATTCCTACAAGGCGTGCATGTTTTTGTGAATGTTATAGAGTTGCGGACGGCGGACTCCCCATTTGTGCTGAACTTGTTCTTAAAGACACTGCTCTATTCTGAAAAACAGATAAACTTCTACTTTAGGGAAATATAATTGGACACTATCCACAAACGATAAAAAAAATTATTTAATTTCACTACAGCATCACAAAGTAGGCATGTATATAAAAAAAATCTCGTTTCTTTAATTTGTGGCTTTGCGCGATACGGTTGCAAATGAAATATGCAAGCATAAAGTTATGGTAGGCACAAACTTTCTAAAAACTCCGTATGTAACGATATAAATGGTGCGCATATCTGCGTACCCCAATTAGTGTTACTTTCATTAGCGATTGATGTGACTTACGCTTTTTTAGTGCAAGAACACAATGATAGCTTAATTAAGTGTAAAATTTACCATGAGCAAGATGCAGTAAGCTTACTAGGGCGACGACACCAAACAATATCAATTTATCAGCCATCACTAGCGCGAATACGGCCGGAACCGTGAACAGTTGCGAAGTGACAAAACAGCACAATATGGAAACGAGCGTACGGCCCAACAGTACGCGTCTTGGTAGGCGAGAATGAGACACGGCGGACGTGTTTCACCAACGAGCGCAAGCAGTCGAAAACAGACCCAATTACTGCGTGAATCGTAGCGCTACTACAGCGATACCGACAAAAACCTTTAGACTCACAACGAGACGTCGATAACGTATTTAAAAAGGAAACACGGAGCGTCAGATCAAAAATGATACGGCGCTGCGGGGTCAAGATTGGCTTCCTTTTTCTATGATGTGCCAATATTGTGCTATACTGATGCGCTGTTTCCAAGTGTCCAAACAAGACCACAGCATCGTCAACGTTTTCAAACAGTAGCCTCTGAAAATAATGTTGACATTACATATGGTGAAGGGAGCCTTTCTATCAGGTGCTACGATTAGAAACTGTGGTCAATTCTTTTTCGTACTGATTAAAGCGTAGATATTTGGCTCATTTCAAGCTGCAGGTAGCGGCATGGCGATGAAACAAACTAACAGCTTGAAGAAAATTAAGCATGCCGTTAATTGGTTATTATTATTAAATGCGCATCTGTAGTTTCTAAAATTCGAAATAAAAACGATTCGTAGCTTCTAAAATTTCAAATAGCATGTTGATATGCATATCAAGCACACTAATGATCCTTTCTTTTGTGATATTGTTACCGTTATCATTGTTGGGGCCAATGAGGTCTACAGTGACGTCCTTTCAATATTTTGTGAAAAATGACGAAATCTGAATGCTATATTTAGGTTTCTAAAGGCCTGCCTTTTTAAACGAGGTATGAAATGTGACGGCCCATTTGACTAAGGACACTGAAGCAATCCGAAAGGTGCAACTCAATTTTTTGAAACAGTGCCACGGGGTGCAGTGTTTTCCGCTATAGAACCCTTCGCAAGCAAATGTGAGAACTGCATAAATAAGTATTATAAGTCGGGTAAACTGGGACGCGAATCCTTTTTTTTTTTGCTTATGCTAAACAATTTGAGAGACAAGTGTCGTATCGTATGAAGTTCGTAGAACAAAGCGTACCAATTAACATAATAATTTATTGTGTCCGGTACAATAATTTAAGAATTTATTTCCTTGTTTTTATTGAGTTGTTATCAGATAATATTTGTTGACGACTCTTGAGTGTTCATCTACGTTGGACGAGAGACACCTTTAATAAAAATGATATTCCTATTAGTTTCGCAATTGTCATATCATCATTGCAGGCATTAGAACCCTACCATGATATATTCTCTTTTGGATTCGACCTTCTACAGAAGCTAATAATAACAAAACTGAAACGCCGGCAAGCGCAGTCAGGTAAATGTCGATATAAGATGACCGACGAAACCAAACATCGATTTGTACATTAATGTGAAGGACATTTAACAGAGCTTAAAGGTGATCAGGTCAAATGCACGTTCACTGTTTCATTAGTTCTATACTTTGATCATGGCCTTGCGTCAGTACAAAACACAGACATGATAAATAGGTGCGAAAGAGCATATCAAATACGTACCATCGAGCGACCTTATGCCCATTGACTTAGTGAGATTCAAATATGGCCTTAAACAGTGTTTGGCTAACAATTGTGCTCTCCATAGAGAGCTTGTGTGTAGGCTACTAAATGATACTATACTGTAAGCACGGTATCAGTCGTATGGCAAATATTTAACCCATATCGTATACGATAGTACTAATATGTGATACCGACTTTAGCTTGGAATTTGTGCTATATAAGCAAGATTTCTGCTAGATCGTCGTTATCGGAACAGCGCGCAAATCAAATTGAGAAATAAAACAAGAATAAGTTTACCCACAGATTATCTATTTTTATCGTTATTGTTATTAGCTATTCGCACACAGTTTAACAACTGTGTGCGAATAGCTAATAGTCCAACCAATGGCGGCAACTGAAGGGGTTTAATGGCTTAGACCGGCGATTTAGTCCTGGTTATTTGCTATGGCACTTGCTTTTCAGTAAATTCGTGAATAGCCTTTCTTGGGTGGTTCAATAACTCTCAACGTGGCTCTTTACGTGGCTTGCACTGACAATAGCGTCGTCTGCTCTGAGCCCTTCGGCTACCCTAACCATATCCGGAAACTGCGTAGCCTCATATTCGATCTTCGAACCTGTCTTTCATCTCAATATCAAATACGCCATGTCTCGAAACTCGAGGAGGATTCTCAACCTATTAAGAGTAATATATAATTTTAATACTCGACCATCAATATCAAGGTTAGCCGTAACGAACCAACCGCGTTGTTACAATGGTTTTATTATTTCGCTTTATTTTTTTTACAGCTCTGTCCTTCTAACTATTCGACTCTACTGTTACTCTCCATGTCCTAGCCGTCGGGTGACTGTGTAGAAAATGCCCCATGGCAGTAGGTTAACTCTCTCGTGCTGCCATCTCATTGAACCGTTCGCGGTTCTACCGTCTAGCCAGTGCCTCCTTGCTACCTCAAGGTACAACTTTCAGCCTATTATGTAAAGCTTTATTTAGAATTTTCACAAATTCTCAACCGCTATTGTGTTAGCTGCTGAAAAGTTTTCCTTCAGACTACATTAAAACCTCTAACACAGTTTCTTATATTCGGTGCATTATGCATAGAGCCATTTTCTCAGATAGTGAACAAGCGTATAGTCACATACACACACTGACACGCTTACGTATATATATATCCGCTTAAAAGAATGGAAACGAAATTTTTACTAATAAAGTTCTCCTTGGTTTTAGGGAAATATCCCGCCAGTGAGGTGCTACTATCCGAGGCAGATGGCTCGATGATTTAGTCGCTATCGTACGTAGTAGTAGTAGTTGTTGACTCGGTGGGATGGGCGGCGCTTTAGTCACGTTCGATCTAGTTCATGTACGCTTAAAGCGCCCTGCCGGCTTAGTGGAATTGATCTATAGGTGGTGATTCTGAAAATGACACTTTATGAGGACGTCACTGTTTATTACGAGCCAGCCTAGAGCTGTCAGTCTACTTGTATTCAAACTGACCCAACCTGTGCTTAACACGAACAAATTTAGATCAGTTGAAATTGCACTAAGCCTTATTTTAAGTAAGAACTACGGGTAAGCCATTTACAATCTGGGTGATCTTTTTAACAGATACGACATAGGATTTTCGGATAACATGTAATAATATTTCCTGTGAAATCAAAATGACCACAATCGCCAACTAGATTCGATTCAATCGTCGTCGTCGTCGTCACGAAGTGTGACTTAAGTAACACGATGGTAGATTATGAAATTCTACACAACTGAAATTCCCTCTGAACGGTGCGCCGTCCATATAGACAGTTCTGATACACCAAGCAAACTTGGCATCCAACAGTTCTCACTCTGTAACCGACTGCGTATCTGCAGTATACTTCTTACCTGTTTAGTGCTAATATAGACTATGCACTCGGATCCGTTGACCTTGCGGCTAGTCGTCTAATAGGAAGGAAATTCTTTCTAGTAATGGACGCGGCAGTTCCTCGATTGCCTGCAATGTTATAAGAGAGCATATGCCAATCACATGCGAAAGGCCATCAGTATGCATTGAACCTCACCTACAGGCTTTCTACGAATAAAGCTGACGCTTTAATACTTCACACGCTACAAGGTTACTGCAAATTATTGACGGAATTATTGAATCCTGACTCCTGGCTAGATGATCTTATTCTATGCAATCTGCTGCTTCTGGGACGCAATAGACGTCCTTGTATCGCTATTGACTTGAAAGATCCAGTTTATTACGTTCGTGGACATCCTAGACGGATAGAAATTCGTAACAAAATGCACACGCTAAATAACTACCAAAACAGTAAACATAGCAATAAACCAAATAAAAGCATCTGCTTCTAGCTGATCTATTTTTGCCTGCTACGGCTGACTATGGCACTGTCTGAATGTCTTCTAGTGGACGCAAAGCGCAGATGAACCAAAGCTCTATTTTGCGCGATCCTATTATCTAAGGTTAGGGGACAAGCGGCTTATTACAGTATAATAAGTTCTAATAATAAGAATAAGTTCTAATTGTCGGCGAGAGCTTCTGGAATTTTTTTAATAAACAAAACATTACTAAAGATGTATTTTACCTTTTAAATTGCAAAATGCTCGCGAAAAGATGGTTTTCAGCTCAAGTGTATCTCGGCTCGAATGATCCCGAATAGACTTTTTTATATCCTGGCCGCCGCGGTTGGAAACTGGATAAGGCTCTGAGCTTACAAGCACAAAGTTTTAAGCTGCATTTATAGCTTTAGACAAATATTTTTTTCAACAATATTTGAATTCATAGTTATGTACAATTGCGTTTAATCAGTGTGAACAGCATTACATATAATCAATAGTTTCAAGTTAGTCTAACTCTGTAAGTTGCAATAAAGTTCAGTCGCAATGAGACTATTCACATAAATAATCGCTTCGTTTATTTTAAGGAGAAAGCCGGTAAAGGCAAGTGTGAAATACGCATTCGTTGGTGCTATCCGTAGAAATCTATGTGTAAAAAACTAATGCTTGCTGTTACACGGTGGCGAAGTATCATCGATTACTTGATTGATCAGACGTCGACAGTAATTTGCTTTCCTGAAGACAAACTTAGGTGTTCACAACGCATCTTCAATTACTGTCAAAAACTATTACTTCTGCGTATGGCAGTGCAAGCCACTCCAATATTATCCGCAAGGCAGTCACTCGATTTACGTAGAAAAAGGAATGACAGCAGTTAATCAACTATGCTACCATATCCCAACTCCCTTTTCCCAATCGCAACACGTGTTTTTAAAACGAAGTTCCTACGTGGGAGTCCGACGACATGATGATGCTTACCACAATTGCTCAGAATAGTATAATATATATAAATACAGAAAAATTTCACATTCTATAAGAGAAATTAATGACTAAATGGCTTCGAACAACCTATAAATTCGGGCTAACTATCACCAATAAAGTGTATATTTCGGCCTTTACAGTAATTTGATGTCATGCACGGGCGTCCCAACTGCTTACGTTCAGTAGCAGTCTTTTGCAGGGAAGATGTGTGCGGCCTGATTTAGCACGTTCTCCAATTAGGGTAAGAAAAAACGTCATGCATATACGACACAGACTAGATTTGGCATATGGAGGGCTCGACAATACTGCTTTTGAGCTTTTCGAGTCCAAGCTTTTCAGAGGAACGACTCGCTGACATTCGTAATTTCAACGCAAAAGCGGTCAAATATGCATCTAGGGCACAGATTCGGTCGTGTGTTTTGTTGTATATATAACTACAAATAATGCTTTGGTACACCGACGAGCGGGTTTTGCTGGCAAAATGTTGAAATCACAGTACTCTGTAAAATGGCATTGTCTATTCTACACCATCACGTAGAGCAGAGGCTGTCAAATTTAACTATACTTTCTATAGCTGTTAAAATAGCGTGTCTCCTTATCGTACATACATTCGCAGTCTTGAAAGTCCAGCTTTAATGCTATTGAAATAACACTTGATTGTAGCTTTCACACTGATACGCTTTACGCTTGGTCCTTTCACCACATGGCTAGAGACCTATCATGTGTATATGTACCTTCTGTGGCTCATAGATTCTACTGGTATTTTGTTAAATGTTACTCGGCTGCTACTGCAGGGGCTATCGCCGACGATCGAACTACTCGACATTGTAGACAGTTATTCTACTTATACGTAGACAATAGCTATTGGAATCAGGTGACCACCTGAAATATCCTGTTTTCAATTTTGCTCAGTTTTTCTGTCCCAACAAAAATCTCTGGTGTTTTTCGAGACATTCGGTGGACGGTGATGAGCTTATCTTGAATATGAACGCGTAAAGGCTTTGATTGAAAACCATTGGAATAGGGCCAGCTCAGTGTGTTAAGCAGCGGGTTGCATTGCTTCAGGTTCAACGCTAACTGAGTGCGAAGGTTTTCCCCAGGAAAATGTTTTCCCGTCCCGTACCATTACGCCGTATCGTCATTTTTCACACAGGAAAAACAGATGCTGTAAAATAATTAAATTATGCAAGAAAATAATTAAATTACGCAAGAAATCCGCATGCAAAAAAAAATAGTAAACAACTTGTGATCCTCAGCTTTTGTAATCATGCCAGAGAACCCGCTGAAGTCGGTCTGTTTTGCATGATTTGAGCTATAGTGGAAAAACGCCTGCTATAATGCTGTCAATTCTTACGAGAACCAGGTTATGATAACGATGGAATATATACTACATATGAATCTTTCGAGACGGCTTTGCAATACAGATTGTTTTAATATCTATCGCCTATCGTATGTTGCATATGAATTTTTCGTACATAGAACGCTGACAGACTCAATGTTCTTGCCAAAAGTTAAACTTAGTTTCGGGATAGACAGAGTTCATAAGCCCACCGCTATACAC